ACCAATCAAAATTGTGCAGGATTGTTCATATATAAAGAGCTCATTCTAAAATGTTTTTAAATTTTGTTTTATTTATTTATATACTCTGGTGTGCATGTGTGTGTGTATTTGCACATGCATGCCATGTATGTGTAGCTTAGACCAGAGACCAAGTTTTAGGGGTCAGTTCTCTCCTTCCTCCATATGGGTACCAGGAATCAACTCGGGTTGTCAAGCTTGGTACCCAGTGCCTCTACCTGCCTGTCCATCTTATCAGTCCTCACAATAAAACTTTTCATGAAAAAAAATGAAGATGCTAAAATAGTTAAAACAATCTTGGAAAGAAATTATAAAGATGAAGGACTGGCTTTTCCCACCAATCAGTTTCTAGTAGCACACGAAGGTCACATGCATGAGCGTGTATGTGAGCGCACATACACAAGAGGTGAATAAATAAATTTTTGAGAAAAGATAGTGATCTGGGTGGTGGAGGCACACACCTTTAATCCGAGCACTTGGGAGGCAGAGGCAGGTGGATCTCTGAAAGTTCGAGACCAGCTTGGTCTACAAAGCAAGTTCCAGGACAGAGAAACCCTGTCTTGAAAAAAAAAAAGATGATATACTATTGACACAGAAATAATCCCATATTTGTAAGAGAATTGGCTTTTGACTGTTGCTAAGGCAACTCAAAGATAATTTAGTGGCATTTTCATAAATACTATTAAAATAATTGAAAATCCATATGCAAAAATGTGATTTCCACATAAATCCCACACTATTAAAAGAAACACAAATGAATCATAGGGAAAAAGTGCAGAGCTGTGAACATTTTAGAGGAAAACAGAAGAAAAATGTTTTGGCCTAAAAAGTTAGGCCAAAGGTTCTTAAATTTGATTACTAAAATTCAGGCCAATAAGTAGGGCTTTATCAAACTTTTTATAATAAATATTATGCATATAAAATAGTAAACTTTATTATTCTGTTCTACAGAAGACGTTTGAGCTGGGTGCGGCTGTGCACACCTGTGACCTCAGTACCTAGGAGGGGAGAGAGATTAGGAGTTCAAGTCCAACCTTAGGTATGTAGGTAGCTCAAAGCCAGCTTGGGCTACATGAGACCTCATTTTTGAAAGAAAAAGAAAAAAAGCAGCTTAAAGCTACAAATGGAAAACGTATTTTTAGTTCGCTTGTATTTAGGATCTGTAAAGAAAGCTCCGAACTGAACAAGAATACAAACAATCCATCTCAAAACTGGTCAAGGTGGGCATGTCATGTCATGACTATAGTCCAGGCTGCTGGAAAGTCTGAAGTGAGAGGGTCACTTGGGCCCACAAATTGGACATATAGTGACTTCCATCTCACAAGTAAAACCAAAAGGAAGATAGTCTGAATGGCACTTGCCTCAGCCATTCACAGGGCAACCAGCACCCAAGGAAACATCCTACACCATTTGCCAGTTACTAGAGAAACAGAGACAGAAACCACGCAGAGGTCCCACTGGACACCTGTTGGAATGATCTGGGGTGAAAAGCCTGGTGAATGCTAGCCCTGGCAAGGGAACAGAGTGGCTGGGTCTCTCCTAGGTACTGGTGGAACACATCAGCTGTGAAATAGAGTTTGAAAATTTCTTGTGACGTTAAACATTCCTTTTCCATTTGATTCAGCAATCCCACTCCTACAAATTCATAGTGGAGAAAAAACTTAGGCAAAGTTCTGTGTAAAACTTTAAATTTTTTTTTTATCTATTTGTGTGTGGAGATCACCCAACCTTGTTTGTTTGTTTGATTGCTTGTTTTATGAGACAGGATTTCTCTGTGTAACAGTCCTGGCTGTCCTGGAACAGGCTTTGTATACCAGATTGGCCTTGAACTCACAGAGATCCTCCTGAGTGCTGGGATTAGAAGAGTGTGCCACCTTGCTGGGCTGATCATCCAGGCTTCGATGGCAAATGCTTTTACTTGCTGAGTCAGCTCCCTTCCCTGACCCATGATGTTCTGCCCAGCCAAAATCTAGAAATGACACCACGGATGCTGTTCTAGGGGAGAACTGATAACGTGTGTTTATCCCTAGACTGGACAGCATTTGTCAACACAATGACACCACACTGATTTTGGTTAGGGTTTTATCACAGCAGCAGATGAGAAACTAAAACACCACCATTGCATGCAACCATGTTTTCACCACATGCACGTATGTAGTTTAACATATGTACATGCATTCATACACACGCTGCAACACTCAAATACCTCAACACATGCACACACACACATACCCACCACTACAATACAACCATGCATTCATATACACACAGAAAGACACACATATGATTACTAACACACACTCCCTCACATACTCTGACACATGCAAACACCCATTCACCTTCATCACACAGAAGGCAATTGTGAATTCACAGACACATGCATGCACTCATACACTCATGCAGATATACACCTATAATGTCATTCTTAGAAGTCACAAAAGTCAGCAAAGTGAGGACATTTACATACAAAGAGGAACCCCAGACAGGGATCTTCTATAGGAGCTCCCACTGGCTCCGCTTGGTGGCCCTCTGGCTTCTGCTGAACCAACCTAGCCCAACCTAGCCAACCTCCCCCATGAGAAGGGGTGGTTCTGTGGGAAATTCCTTTCTTTCTGCTTGCCCGCCGGTCTCATCACTGGACCTGAGAGCCTGGGGGTTTATACTGTCAGGTAGACCTCAGGTACACCATGTCACCTCATTCCTCGTGAGTCCCCTACTGAATCCGCTGTGAACTCTCCTGACCTCGATCCTCTCCTGAGTGGTAACTGACTCCATATTGTGACTCTGAGAGCTAGGATTGCTCTGGGTCTCAGGCATCGTCTCTGTAAGAGTCACTAGGGATGTCTTTAACAACAGCCCTTCCTGAGATGCAACGGTAGACTACCCAAACTTTGGAGCCGCCTTCGGAGTAAGGCTGGCAGCAAGACTTCTAGAAGTCCCTTGGGTCATGTTATGCACGGCCAGGATCTGCCCAGAGACTGTCTGGCACTGACTAATGTTGAGCTGCCCTTCCGGGCACCACAGCAGGAGAAAAGCAGATGCAGGGAGGGATCTATGTGGAGCAGTGGGCCAGGAAGCCTCTGAAGGTGTGCGTATCAGAACCGAGACGAGAGGGACCAGGTAACATGGAGACTTCTGTGGCTTCTTCCTCGGCTTGCCCAGCCTGGAGCTGGAAGGACAGGGGAGCTCCAAATACTCAGTTTGGGTGAAGGTCATTTTCACTAGAACTCCTCCCCAACCCCAAACAGGGTTTCTCTAACAGTTCTGGCTGTCCTGGAACTCACTCTGTAGACCAGGCTGTCCTTGAACTCATGGAGATCCACCTGTTTCTGCTTCCAGAGTGCTGGGATTAAAGGCTTGTGCCACTATCACCCACCCTAATTTCACTAGAACTTTGAAACAGACATCTATGGCTGATCCTTTTCATTTCCTCTGGCTTTACCGGCAAGAGTTGTTTTGCAGATAAAGAAGGCAACGCTGAGCAGCAAGGGGGTGAGAAAAGCTGGCCAGGGCAGGGCTTAGATCTCTCAGTAACTCAGGAACATGTTCAAGCTGAGGCAAGTTCAGGGCTGCCTCTGCACCAGATCCACCAATTGCCCTGATCTCACTGTTTCCCATGTAACCCCATGTGACAGATGTCCACCCAATGACAAACCCTGCTGAGACCAGGAGATGGCTGAGCTCTGGAGCATCTCCTCTCATGCCCTGCCCATCTGCAGCCTGGGATGGAGGAACCCATGGGAGATGTATCTTCTGTGCTTCTGGCATGGGGCATGGGATGAGGTTTAGTTTGGTTTTGCAATCTACAAACCGGGGCGATCCCATTGCTCTTGTGGGTGGGTTCACTTTCGCCCCAGGCTGGGCCTCTGCCATTTGGCTGCTCAGCTGCTTCCTGTGACACCCACTCATTACCTTCTGCAGGAACACGAGCAGGTCTGACCTAAACCAAATTCTCCAGGCATGGAAACTTGCTGTCCCCCCAAGGGGCTTCTCAGTAACCCCAGGGCATCCTTACCTGTGCCCAGCAATTTAGCTCCAGGACATGCAGTATGGAACAAGGATCAGGAGGTCAGCGACAGAATTTATACTACTCCTTTCTGACTGGGTGGCCTTCTAGAAGACTTAGAAGACCAACAAGAATCTCGACATTCAGCAGGCACCCAGTGTCTCTCCACATCCTGCAGCTGTTTATGATGCTGTTGGCATGGTTGGAGAAGCTGGCGGGTTGCTCCTCCACCAGGACTCTCAATGGGGTAAAGGGGCTCTCTCTGGCTGCTGGACCCATAACTTGGCAATACCAAGTCCCTAAAATGATCTTTTATTTACATTTTTAATTTTAAAAATTAGCTTCCAATGGTTAATGTGAAAAGAAAAGAAAAAGAATATGACTAAGTAAATAAATCCAGTGGGATTCGGGCACATAAATGACAAAAAAAGAAAGAAAAGAAACCAAAAACCGCCGCTGCCCATAGGGGTAAGAAAATGTAATTGCAATTCTAAGACCTCCAGTGCTCAGAATAGGACCACCTGAGGATATTCCAGGTCAATGCTACGTAGTCCTAAGAATGGTTAAGGTCCGTGGTGGTGGCAAGAACATTTCAGTTTGAAATGTAAACGCTGGGTTTGGAAGGCGAGAACATTCTCTAACAGAATTGGGCGGCCAGGTGTCTCACCGAGACCCACAAAAGACCAATGTTTCAGAAGTCCCCGGGGAACAACTTTCCTGTACCGGCGATTCCCACGCGGAGCCGCTTTCCCCTGCTGGGCTGCTGCAGCCCAGGTCCTCCCAGGTCTCCTGGCCCGCGCGGTGCCTCTGCGATGACAGATGGAGGACCCCACTCCTCTCTCCAACAACCGAACCCCAGCCCGAGATTCCGCTCCAAGCCCCCAACTCCAGCACACGAGTGGAACCTGGCATGCCCCAGCCTCGGCGTTACCTCCTCGGGAAGCGGGACCCCGGGAGGGGCTGCGGGGACACTGACCTGGGAAGCCCGCGCTCTAGGGCAGGCAAGGAGCAGCAGGAGAAGGACGAGCGCGCGCTGAGAGCCGGGTCCCATCTCGCCCAGCACTGTCTGGCTGCTGAGGAAGGCAGGTCGCTGTCCCTGACGGACACTGAATCCCCGCGGTGCGCGAGTCCTTTTAAGCTCCCGCGGCCACCAGAGACCGTAGCCGCCGGCGGCACGAGACTGTCCGGACGACGCGGGGAGGCGCCAGCCCCGTGGCGGAGGCCGGGAGAGGAGGGGCTGCAGAGCCTGGAATGCGCCTGGGAGCGCGCCCAAGCCACGATTCCTGGAGGAGGCCGGGCGCGACCAAGGGTGGCCCGTGCCCACCCTGGACTGCCCTACTGCCCACTGTCCCTACTTCCCACCGGGAGCGACTCAGGCTTTCGCCAGCCACACGTGGCTGACTGATGAGCCCAACTTAGGTTTGTCCTACCTCAAAGCCCACACAAGGACACCTTCCTCCAGGACAGCAGAGAACAAGGCAAGTGTGGCAGGAAGAGGGGCTTCATAAACTTGGCCTAGGTTAGACCACGTCTTTTTAAGCTGTGTACCAAAAATGGGAGTTGAGTTGCTGAATTTAGCAAATTGTAAAAGCACAAGACCAAATATTAATTCAGAATCAAATATAATGAATCCAAGGTGTCCTTGGTCACCATGACTGGTGCTGGTCAGTTGTCCCTGGGCATCATACGACACTTGGCTCAGATCCAGACTATTTATGTTATGAAATAAAGTGGGGTTTTTTGTTTGTTTTTTTTTTCCGCACAAAGTTTTCTGCCACTTTGTACATATTTCTGTGAAGTGGTGTGCTTGGTGTAACAATTATCAAACTATCAACCAATTTGGAAAAAAATGTCAAAAATACTTCTTGTTCTTCAATATCAAATAGACAAGATTTAGTTCTTCGTGTAAAAATAAATAAGCACACCAGATTTCCTTTAGTCTTTAAAAATGGTAAAATTATATTTATAGCAAAGAATTACTGTAAAATCAATGGAAAAGTTTTAGAAGAGTACTGTCCAGGGTTTAGGAGCGCGCCCCGGGCGACAAAGAGTCCACAGCCTTCCTTCTAGTGTGCAGTGTTCCCCCAGAGTTTCAGCAGAGACCCCATTCTAGAACCTCACTAAGGTCTGGGTGGGTAACAACCCGTGGATAGACAGGCACGAAGTTGAAGTCCCTGCTCCCAGGCTATGGGTGAAGCAGGTGCTTCAGACCCCTGGAAAATGTAACTTAGTTCTCCCTGGAAGAGCATCTTGGGAAGCTCCCTCTGATTGTACGGAATGCTTCTGAAGCCCACAGCCCCTGACATGGAGCTGTTTTCAGTGGGAATCAGGACGGCAAGCCCGGTGTCCTCTCTTGGTCTATGAGGGCTGCTATGACAAAGTGCCACGGACTAGGCAGTGTCTAACAATACAAATGTGCACCTCGAGACTGGGAGCTGGGAGTCAGGATCAAGGTATTGACTGGCAGATTTGGTGGTGATGAGGGTTTGCTTTATCCTCAATTGTGGGAATAGGCAGAGTAGCTCTTTGAGGCCTCTTTTCTTGGGGGGGGGGTCAGGTGGGTGGGGTTTCAAGACAGACTTTCTCTGTGTAGCCCTGGCTGTCCTGGAACTTGTTCTATAGACCAGGCTGGTCTCGAACTTGGAGATCCACCTGCCTCTATCTCCTGAGTGCTGGGATTAAAGGCGTGCGCCACCCGGGGCCACCCTGCCTAAGGCCTCTTTTGTAACACCACCACAGTGATCTAATTCAGAAATATCCTAATACTACCAAACTGAGGAGGGAGTTCAAATTATGACCATAGCCGGTTCCCTGGAAAGCATGGAACATGGGGCATTGGGCACTGGGCCTGGGGACCACCCAAACTTTGGCTCCCCCACAAATCCCACTGAGCTGTTTCCTCTGGCTTTCTGAAGCAGAGCAAGGTCCATGTCCTTGTGCTTTGGAAGTGTTGCAGAGAGACCTTGTCAGAACACTGCTTGGCACTGTCCAGGTAGAGAGGAAAGGACAGCAGCCAAACCAGGGTAGGCCGGAGAGATGATGGGCCTCTGTGTCAGTCTCCAGTGTGTCCGCTGTCTATGAGCGAGCCACCCGTTTCCTGGCTGCGCTTACCTCCTGGGAATGAAAGGTTCCATTCTGCTTGGAGTGGCTATTTATTTTGAGTTTTCTCCTGCCCCGTATTTACATGGCAACCTCCAAGCACGCTTAGTTGGTTCTGGCTGCACACTGGACACCAGAGGCTGGGCAGATGTGAGCAAGCCCTCTTTTCTCTTCCATTACCCTCTCCTCGGAGTCGCAAGGCAGACCAGATGGCGTAGAGGCAGAGAACTAAGCAAGGTTATGCGGTGGTTAAACTTCGTCAGCCTGGCGCGGTTTGAAATCACCTGGGAGACAAACCTCCAGGCACGTGTGTACCCAGAGAGGTTAAATTAGGAGAAAAGACCCGCTCTGAATGTGGGGACAGCCCCTGTCTGAAGACCCCTGGGCGGGGTGAGGGGTGCTGGACTAAGGGAGAGTGGGTGGGGAAAGCGGAAGCCGGTTGAACTCTGCTACGCTGTGCTCAACCCAGGAGCCCAAGGAAACCCTTCCTCTTTCAGTTGCCTCTTGTCGGGTATTAAGCCTCGGTATTGAGGCAAATAACTAACGCAGCGCGGTTGGTGAGCAGCCTGGGGTATGCGGACTCAATTCTAAACGTCTCCGCTAGGAAAGGCGCTTCCAGGACATTTGGTCTTGACCTAATCCCTACTTTACTTTATGGAATCTCAGGACTGCAACAATTTTACTCAAAGCGACACAGCTGCCTCTTGGGTTTGCTGTTTTGCGTTTCTAAACGTCAACAGGAATTTTTGCTTTGGTGTTGTCCCTATTTGCTAACTTCCATTTGTGACTTTGGCCCTATGGCTGACTCCGCTTTGTGCTCAAGGTTCATTTGAATTAGTCTTCTGAGGTCTGGCTGCCCTTCTTTCTGTGTCGTCACTACCGTGATCTGCAGTAACCGAAGCAGATGCCCACAAGCAGAACTTGCCGGGGCTCTCTCCAGAGTGACTGACTGTTGGAGCCACGCTCAGCGGTTCAGAGCAGCCACCGCTGGCTGCTCTTGCAGAGGACTCGGGTTCAGTTCCCACTACCCAGATGGTAGCTCACAACCATCCCTCCTTCCAATTCCAGGGGATTCAGCATCCTCTTCTGGCCTCTGTGGTCACTGGCATGCATGTGGTGTACACACATATGTTCAAACAAAACACTCATACACACAAAACAAATCTAAAATGGAGAAGGCTCGGAACATTAGCTGTACAGTTAGGGCTTCCCTCTGCCCTAATAAAATGGCCCTATCAGCTAGTTTGCGCCCTCTGTTTCCCCTCTATTGTTTCTTGGGGAGTATCTGGGGGGTACTGGGGCTCTTCTGGAGACTGTGAGATAGATTGGCAGATAAAGGTTCTTGTCACCGAGGCTAATGACCTGAATTTGGTCCTTTGAATCTACACAGTAGGAGAGAACTAAGTTCCGCAGGTTGTTGCCCACCCTCCACATGAGTGCCATCATGTGCGAGAGAATGAATAAATAAATAAATAAAATAAAGATGATTTTTTTTTTAATGAAAGAAAGACTCTAGGAGCTGAGGGTGTGGCCCAGTTGGTAGGAAACTTGACTGACATTCGTGAGGACTTGAATTGGACCCTCAACCCCGCACAGCCAGGTGTGGAAGTACACCTACAAAACCAGCACTTGGGAGGTGAAAGCAAGATATAAAGTTCAAAGTCATCCTCGGCTACACAGGGAGTTTGAGGCCAGCCTGGGCTACATAAGATCTGCTGTAATATTCTCAGTTCCCTATATGATATGGGAATGCAAAGAAGGAAGAAGGAAGTTGGATTTTAATTATTAATATTCTCTCCTCCCCTCTTCCTCTCTCCCTCTCTCTCACAGCCTCCCGTGTCATTCTTCAGGCCCTGTGCACCTTTTCCTTTAGAGATAGGATCTCTCATTGGCCTGGAATTTGCTGAACAGGCTAGGCTGCCTGGCCCCAGGGTTCCCCTGTGCCTGTCTCTCTAGCACCAGGATTAGAAAGGAGCCCCGCCATGCCCTGGCTTTATATACACGGGTTCTGGGGTACAAACTCAGGTCCTCATGCTTACAAGGTAAGCATTTATTTTTTAGAGACAGGGTTTCTCTGTGTAACAACCCTAGCTGTCCTGGAACTCTCTCTGTAGACCGGGATGACCTCGAACTTACAGAAATCTGCCTGCCTCTGCCTTCTGAGTGACAAGGTAAAGCATTTTACCGCATAAACCACCTGCTCAGCATTTAAAATTCTATTTGTTTGTTTGTTTATGTCTGATAGGCTCTTACTAGTAGCCCAGGCTATAGTTCTAGAAGCCACACTACTCCTGGCTGAAAGAGAAGGATGTGTTGTTGAAATCTATGTCGAAGACCTGGCCACTGGCAACATACAATGGAAAGCAGTGACTCCCTGGCTGCCCTGTGAGGCCCTCATGGTCTCTTATGGTGCCCACATCATGTTGCTTCCCTCCTGCATCTGTCTGTGCTCTAAGTGTCATCAAGCCTCTAAGAAGCTACTCTGTAATGGTCACAGGAACAAAGACTGGCACGTTAGTCTGACCGGGGATAACAGGGCAAGCGGAGGGAGGGGATCACTCAGCAGGAGAGCCATGACTTCATCCAATTCCTTCATTATACAAATATTTATCAAGTGCCAACTGTAGGCCTGGCTCTGAGCCAGGTACTACATTATGCTCACACGTTATAACCAGCGATTCTGCCAGCAAGCCATGCAGTCACGTGTAGAACATTGAAGACATTGTCTGCCTGTGGACAACATCAGGACAGACAGTAGAAGCTGCTGGCCATGCCCTGAAGACCATTTCCAATAATAATAATAAAAAAGGCTAGACTTCACTGTGTCATAATTATAGACCAAGCATCATTCAATGTCTTCCAAGGGAAGAGAAGCTTTCAAAGTCCACAAATGCCATTCCCCAATGAAGTCCAAATGTCTGTGGAAGGGGCAGAGTAGTGGGCCCAGTTGGTGGATGATGTAGTTCTTGGAGTCAGATGTGCCTGAGCCAAACCTCACCACCTGCAGGGACCAAGAGGGACTTGCATCTCTCCATTCTTTGCAGGAATCACTTTCAACACTTCCA